TAAAGGAGGTCAGTCCTGAGTGTTCATTGGAAGGACTGATGTTGAAGCTGAAACTCCAATATTTTGGCCATCTGATGTGAAGAGCTGACTTATTTGAAAAGACCTGATGCTGGGAAAGATTGAAGGCAGGAGAAGGGGACGAGAGAGGATGAGATGGTTGCATGGCAACACCGCCTCAATGGACATGATTTTGGGTAAACTCTGGGAGTTGGTGATGGACAGGGAGGCCTGCCGTGCTATGGTCCATAGGGTCACAAAGAGTGGGACACAATTGAGAGACTGAACTGAACTGAACTGACTACATTTTATTCATTCATTGTTGATGGATATTTAGGTTATTTTCCTGGATTCATTGTCCTACTTGGATATGAATGTGGGATTGCAGAGACCTCTTCTAGATCCTGATTTCAACTCTATTGGGAATATGCCCAAAATGAGATTTCTCAATTAAAACCATAGTGATTTATAACCTCATGCCTATTAGGATAATTCCCAAGTAGCACTAGTGGTAAAGAATCCGCCTGCCAATGCAGGAGATGCAAAAGTTGTGGGTTCAATCCCTGCGTCAGGAAGATCCCCTGGAGTAGGAAATGGCAATCCACTCCAGTATTCTTGCCTGGAAAATTCCACAGAGAGAGGAACCTGGCCAGCTGCAGTCCATGGGGCCACAAAGAGGCGGACACTCCTTAGCACACCTATTAGGATGGCTATTATAAAAAAATTTTAAACTGTTGATTGGCTAGGATATAGAGAAATTGGAACCTTTATACACTGTTGGTGGTAATATAGAATGGTTCTGACATGAATGAAAACAGTATGGAGGTTCCTCAAGTAATTAAAAATAGAACTCCATATAGTGATTTTTGAACATAAAAAAGGCAGGACAATTATACTTGATATATAGTCACCTTCTTCAATAGTTTCTGAGACTTGTTTGTTGATAATACAATGTTGCCGATAGGTGTTTAGTGATAACTAATTTTTCATAGCCGCTACCCAGAACCTGGAGGGCTGTAGTTGTGGTTCAAGAGTTAGCATAGGGTGAGACAGATCCAGTCCGGTGTGTCTGGGACCTGCTCCCTTGTGGTTGAACTGAAGTATCCCACTTCATGTGTTTTATGTACTGTTCTCTTAAAATATTTACTTTTGTAAAATAAACGCGGCTAAAAATATTTGAAAACTACTGGCCTAGTGTTCTCTTTCTTTAAAGTGAGAACAATGTCTAAAAATATTCTTCCACTTATATTTTCAACTCTTATAAATAGGCTGTTTTTTTTAATTCTTCTTTCCTCTTCTTTTTCTGAATTAGTTTTGTCTTTTGTACCTACTTAAAGTGCAAGAAGAGGGCTTTGAAATGGCTGCATTAGGGTGGAGACTTTTCTTTTTAAAATAATAATGTGCATTTTAAAATAGGAATGTAGGGATAATGAAAAGAAAATATGTACCTTGAAAATTAGCATGGAGACTTATGGTAATATTATTGATACATTCTACCTGAAGAAAATGGGAATACTAAAAAGAAAACAGGCCATAACGTTTCAAAATTTTGTCAAATTCTAATTTCCAAAGTGTTTAGAATAAGAAATGACCTCTATAGGCAGAACATCTTAACCAAGAGAGAAATATAATCACAATTAGAATTTTAAAGGGTGACAGGAAATAATGTGAGGTTGTAATGATTTTGATCATAACATTCATAAAAGATCTCTGCTACATAAATTATATCATAGTTATAACTTAAATCTCTATATTAAATTAAAGGCATTTGTAATATATTTTCAAAAATGCTGTTATCTTGTAAAAAATTTTAATCTTGATTATTTATAGAGTAACATTTGAATAAAAAAGTCACACAACTTAAAAAAACCAGCATAAACAGTTCAGTCTATATTTTATAAAACATGTAGCATATATACATGAATAAAAATAACTAGTAAGGTATAAAAAACCAGCATAAACAGTTCAGTCTATATTTTATAAAACATGTAGCATATATACATGAATAAAAATAACTAGTAAGGTATATATAGCAAAATGTTAATACTGGATATTTCTTTTTAATGTGGTTTATGGTGATTTTAATTTTCTTTATTTGTTTCTTTGCTTCCTAAATATTTGACTAATGCCTGTGTGTTTCTTTTGTAATCAGGCAAGAAAAGCCAAATTAACTTTACTTTTGAAATTATAATTGTAATTTTTTGGCCATATTGTGGTATATAAACAAATAGAACTGAGGTTGAAATGATCAGCAGTGGTGTCTAGGTGAAGGTAGGAAGAAAAGGAGGTCAGGAAAGGATTGGCCTGGTAGATAATGGGGATTGTATTGCTGCATGGCCAAAGATTAGGTGAAGCAACAGTGAAGAAATCTGGCAGGTCAGAGAGTCCAGTATTAACATTTAAGGTATCTGGGGTGGGGAAATTCTTTTGAAGACAAGATCTACATTAGAGCCTGGGAGGAGAGTTAGACTTATAGCAGTTTAAGAGTCCAGCAATTTTATAACAAAGTCATTATATGAATTGCTTCTGTAGATGCAGAAAGACTGTAAAAGTTAGGGAAGATTAAAAATGTGAATAAAATCCCATAAACTTCATTGATTAAGGAGGTGGTGGCAAGTCTACAGATGATGGCAATGAAAAGTCCTAAAAAGCTTTGTAGTGGAGTGACTTAAGTTTTAGAAGAACTGATTTGTCATGAGATATATATATATATATATATATATAAAATATGCATTTATTATTATGTATAATTATAAAAATTATGTTTATATTATAATATATAACATATATAAATAAATCCCATTTTACTTGTTTTATTTACAAACCAATTTGTAAAATATAAAGTGTCTATATAAATTGTGCTTGGTACAAAACCCTAAGGAAAATAAAACTTACTATTTTGAAATTTAAACTGATCAAATCAACATGAGTACTACAAAATTCTCTTAGGTCCATAGAAAAAAATTACTTGATTGTTGCTTAATCAGTGATATTAATACATATTTTAAAACTCTGACCAAAAGCATATAGCCAGCATCTGAAAAAACAGCACACTTTACAGAAACACATAGCAATGAGCATCAAGCATTTTCTAGAGTGTTTTAAAATCTGAATTACATGAGCATCAAGGTCTCTAGGGTCTTTTTTAAAGGACAGGAACTTTTCATCAGATTTCATCAGACTATGTTCCTTGCATAAATCCTTTCTTTGCTCTAATTCTGTGTTAAGCAATCAATTTTCAAACTACAAATTCTCCTTTCAAGTAATCAATTCTGATACAACACCTGGTTTGAAAATGTCAGCTGATTCCTACACAGTTGATAAACTAAGTAGCAAACTGAATTTACTGTGGATTATGAATTTCAGATTTACTTGTGTGTGGTTTTATCTATGAGAACCACTAGATCCACACTCTGGCCATCTTCTGGTCATAATTCACATCCCTCTCATGTGAGGGATTGACTCACCTCCTCTCTTAGGATCCCTCTAGTGTTATTTCAGCATAGCATCAGCTTAAACTCATGATTCTTGTTACCTAATCAGGTCCGGGTTTAGATAAGACTCCTTGGGGATGGTTCCCTCTGAAGACTTGTAAACGAAATTATTTATATCCCACACATACTCAACATGAAATTGTGGGATATACATAGGGGAACCCCTTATAGATAAAGGAGGAATATAGTCACTGGTCTACAGCAGTTCCAAAACCCAGCAGGCACATGTGGCCAATTCCTTGACTAGGCCTCAGTCCTACTTCCTAGAAGTTGTTTTCCATGACTCTTGTCTGTGCTCCTGGAGTCATGGCTCCACTCCCTCTGCCTTTTAAATCATCCTTCCTTTTCCACAAAAAGTTATCTGTGTTTGCAACAGAGTAAACCTTGCCTGCAACCACTAATTTTTTGTTTTTTTGCTACTCTGGGTCTGATCTGCACAGGGTTTTTCTAGTTGCAGCAAGTGGGCATTGCTCTTTGTCACAGTGCTTGGGCCTCTCATTGCGGTGGCTTCTTTTACTGTGGAGCATAGACTCCAAGCATGTGGCCCTCAGTACCATGCAGGCTCAGTAGTTATGGCACACGGGCCCAGCTGCTCCGCTACACATGGAATCTTCCCAGACAGGAATCGAACCCTTGTTTCCTGTGACTCTACCGTGCCACCAGGGAAGTCCCACTAATCTTATATGGGGTGTTTTGAAGCTGGAATTCAGGGATTGGTGAACTTTCACAGATGTAAATGACATCTGTGACATCATCTGTCCAAGTAGGTGCTGGTACTCCAACACCTTTTTTATTTCTGTCTCTTTCCCTTTCAATCAAAGCTCATAAATCCTTTAAAAAACTTTACAGACTTTTTAATGCATCAATTTATAATACACTTATTTGGAAAAGAGGGCTTCCCTGATAGCTCAGTTGGTAAAGAATCTGCCTGCAATGCAGGAGACCCTGGTTCGATTCCTGGTCAGGAAGATCCATTGGAGAAGGGATAGGCTACCCACTCCAGTATTCTTGGGCTTCCCTCATAGCCCAGCTGGTAAGGCATTCAACTGCAATGCGGGAGACCTGGGTTTAATCCTTGGGTTGGGACGATACCCTGGAAAAGGGAAAATACCCTGGAAAAGGGAAAGGCTACCCACTCCAGCATTCTTGCCTGGAGAATTCCATGGACTGTATAGTCCATGGGGTTGCAAAGAGTCGGACATGACTGAGTGACTTTCACTATTTAGATAAAAGCCACAAATTATTTTAAGATAATCCTTTCTTTACTTTGGGCTCTTGTAAAATTGTTATGGGGAAAGCACTTTTGACTTTAACCTGGAAGCTACTAGGATTAGAAACAGCTTTATTTTTTAACCTAGTGAATCCTAGATCCTTTATATTTAACAGCTTATTATTTAATTAACTTCTTTCCTTTCATATTTTATCATAGTGAGAAGTCACTTTTAATATTCTGCCTAGAAATCTTCTTAATTAAATTCCTTATGTACATTTTCTATTGTCTTTGTGTAGGGGAGGAGCAAGTTAGCCAAGACGGTGTGATCAGGCCCTCTTGCCTCACGTTTTGTAAACAATGATTATGTAACAGCTGAGCTCATTTATAGCACTGCACATGCGCGCCACGAGGTACTCACTTGGTCACGGGCTACTTTGTGCGGTGCGCCTGTATAAGCGCCATCTGAGACGGCCTTGAGGGTGTGTTATGGCTACATTATGGCTGTGTCTGGTGGGTGAACATGAGAGGAGAGAATACAGCATGTCTACTGTTATGGCCGCTGCGCCAGCCAGGAGAGAAGAAACGCGTCTACTGTTCCTACGGCTCCTTGCGTGTTCTTCCAGCTCCCCTGCTCACACCGTGCCTACCCTGGGTTCAGCGAACACTGTGAACAGCGCCACGCTGTGCTGCCAAACTTCCCAATGATACATAGAAAGAGTTCCTCTCCTCCAGATTGCAGTAACATTTTCCTTACTATCCTTTGAGCAATCATTAAAAGGCTCTTCGAAGCACTCTAGGCTAACTGTCCTCAAATCCATCCAGCTTTTGCTTGGTCCCAAAGTCAGTACCACATAGTTTATGTTTTTGGTATGAACATCTTCACTTACAGGCTTTAAATTTTGTTCTCTGTATCTATTACTGCATAACCCATCCCCGCTCCCCCCCCCCCCAAAAAAAAAACAAGCCTTAATGATATAAGATAACCACTTTGTTATACTCATGGATCCTATGAATCAGGAATTTAGATAGATCACAATTTTTTCTAGATAGATAGATCACTAATTTAGATACATCACCGCTATTTAGATAGTAGATGTGGCCTTTCTCTGCTCCTCATTGTCTGAGGCCTCATCTGAGAAGACTGAGAGTGTCTTGATGGTTGAAGACTGAAATCGTCTGAAAGTGTCTTAACTTATATGCCTGGCACTTGATGCTGGCTATTGGCTAGCAAACCTACACAGGGTCTCTTCCTGTAGCCTGGGCTTTCTTACAGCATGATAGCCTCAGCTATCTTAGATGGTGGCCTGGAGCTCCAAAGTTGAGTGTCTTAAAAAGTTGGAAGTCAGTGCCATTTTTATGATTTATTTTGTGAAGTCAAATTGTATCACTTTTGTTGTATGTACCTGATCAAAGCCATAATAAAGATCTTCTTAAGTTCTAGGGGAAAGGACATTGACTCATTATTTGATGGTAAAAGTGTCAAGGTCACATTGTAAGAGGAGCATGTGAGGCATGATATCTATCTATAGTGTTGTGACCATCTTTAGGAAAATAAAATCTGTCACACCAAGTCAGCCTCAATGAGGGGAAATATGTATATTTTTAGCTCCTTCTCTTTCACCACAGTCACTTGCTCCTGGGTCCCTTGAGCAGGCATAGAAGTGGTAGGGGGAACAGAGTGGCATATGCCAAATGTCATTTTGTCAACCTGATTATTGGGAACCTTCTCTATAGTGTATGTCCTTTGGTATGCATTCACATAGGATACACCTTCATAGTGTTCCTGTTGCTAAAGGTCTGTTCATTTACTTCTTTCCCAAGCTTCCTTATGGATTAATCTTCTCTTTCTTTCAATTCCTTGACAATAAAATCAAACAATTAGCCATTATCTATGAATAGTAGAAAGATCTGTATATATAACAATTTTTTAATCTGGATCAAGTGGATAGAACAGTATTCAAAGTTTTAGCTTACTGGCAGAATATTCTTTCCTCACTGTTCCAGAACACTCCCAAATGGGCTTGTACTGCTGTGAAGGCCCACCTTTTGTCAGTGCTGGCATATTATGTAGAATCATCTATAAATCAGACTTGAGGTTCTTTTCCCTCCTAGCCAAGCAACATACCATGAGGACGAAGATGTTGTTAAAGGATGATGACAGCATTATTCAATGTGTGGAATAAAAAGACAAAGCTGAATTGATGGCTTACTTTATTAAGAGAGAGTTTGCTGGTCAGTCTCTCTGAGTAGAGCTTAGTTACTTCAATAAGATTGTTGTTGACTAATTGGCACTTACGGGTGAGTTTATTGGAGTCAGTCTATCCCTGATAGACTGAATTCCAGAAGCAAGGGACTTTCCGTGATTGGCTATATGCCACTATGTCTACAGAACAGTCAGTTTTTTTCTACGAGCATGAGAAACTTTTTATTTCCTGTTGCCCTTTTTGGTCCTCATTCAATAAAGCTGCAGGAGAGACCAATGAGGATTGTCTGGAATTTTATACACTGTTGTTGATTCTCCAGATAATTTTTTGTTATGTGGGACTGTCCTGCATTGTAGAATGTTTCACAGTATCTCTAGCCTCAACTTATATGTCCACAGTTGTGACAATAAAAGTGTCTCTAATATTAAATGGATAAACCACAAGGTCCTGCTGTATAGCAGAGAGAACTATATTCAATATCCTATGGTAAATCACAATGGAAAATATATGAAAAAATGCATATATATATATGTATATATATATATAACTGAATTACTTTGCTATTGTAAATCAATTATACTTCAATAAAAATTTTTTTAAAGTCTCCAGACATTGCTAGATGTCCCTTGGGGGACAAATTCACCCCAATTGAGAGTTACTGGCACAGACAAACTTATTAGAAACAAGAAAGCCACTTTAACTGGCCAAATAGTATTCTTTTGGACATTATCTTAGATTCCTCAACCAAGAAGAGGCTAGAAAGGGGCAAACTATCAACAACCTGACTATTGTTGACCCCAGAATACGGACTAAACAGAGTGATCTTTCACAAATGAAGAAGACAAGTTTTGGAGAGAATCCAATGAAAATATTGATGAGTTTGTGGAAATGTATCTTACAGAACAGCAGATAAGGAAACAGCTTGTTATAAACCCCTCTGCTTGTAAATTGCCTTTACTAATTAAGCCTACTTTAGTTTTTTTTTTTTTCTTAATTGTATACCCTCTGAGGCTCACATAGCCTAGGTAATATATATCACCAGACTTCTTAACTACCTCTATCTTATGAGTTATTATAATAATGGAGGGGGATTCAGTTGTTTTCAAGGAACCTGGAGTTGGCTCCTTCTTAGCCCGAGCTGGTCAAGACTGACTGGGGCCTGTGGTGATATCCTACGAGAGACCTTCTGATGTGAGAGAGCCCAAAACTCCACCCTCAGATCACCGTAAGTGCCAGTTTTGAACATTTATCCCACGAAGAAATGTGTAACCCCCATACACCTGAATAAAACACTGATTACGTTACCTTTTCCCTTCCTCCAAACCCCTTTCCCCAAGCCTGACCACCCTGCTTCTTTATCCCATAAATATCTCAAGCCCCTTGCCTTTGGGGAGTCAGATCTGAGGCTGTTCTCCCATCTCCTCACTTGGCTGCCTTCTGAATGAACTCTTTCTCAGCTACAAACCTCCATGGCTCAGCATTTGGTTTACTGTGTGTTGGGCAAACAAGCCTGTTTTGATAATAATTGCTTGGCATTCAAAGAAGGCTTCTTGGAATCTCTTCTGGACTAGGTGACTTTCAGAAGGGTTCGCAATACATATTACCAGTGATCCACTGAAAAGGTTTAAACTAGTTCTGGTGGCTACTTGTCACTTCCTGCCTGCCGCTCTGTGACAGTTTACTTGCCATTTCCCTTAGGACTAAGTCTTTTCTACAAATTCTGAATTCCTCCAATTTTATTGATAAGAAATGTTATCTATAATTTGCTTCAACACTTTCACCACTTAACACAGATGGGCAGCCATCCTTGCATCAAATCCTAATCTATAAGCTGATATATCACAAAGGATCAGATCATCAAATCATACTCAGATGAATCAGAGATCTTGCCCAATGTCAGGCTTTACTAATAATTTCAAGGACAGAGAAGCAAGAAACAGGTCTGGTGTGTGGAAGTTGACTCCTGCTTTGTGAAGTAACTTCATAAGACCTCGTGGCTGACCTCTTCTGGATCAGAGAGTTGAAGGTGTGCTACAGGAGGAAAGTATCTGAGAACCATCCTCAAATATATGGTTTTTCTTTTTTGACTTCTTATTATGGAAAATATTTGAGTAATTTTCTAATGATTGGATTATCTTTGCTTTGCGATGGCATTTTAATATTTCTAAGTGTTCTGAGTTTTGGAATTAAAAATTATTTCTGGATTTATTGTATATTTGAGAATACAACTCATTCAGTTTTTGCCTTCTGAAATGTCTTTATATCTTTTATTAGCTATATTATTGGCTAAACAATATTCTATTGAGTCACTTCCTTGCTTTGGTGATATAATATATGGTTTCAGATTTACATTGTTATTATTTCTTTGCAGTATTATCAATGTTATGTAACAGTTTTATTTTAAAGTGGTTCTCTAAAGTATTACTTCATTTCTTTCAAGTTTTTAATGCTTTACTATCATATTTTCAACAACTATTTAGACAATACATATTTAGCTGGTTTTGGTGCTTTCCATAAGTCTCTTTATATTTTCTCAATTTTAATTCCCCCCCCAACCCCTTAAATAAACTTTCAAGTAAATATTTTTTTAGGAAGGTAACTATAGGGTTATATATTCTGTATCTTTGTACAACTAAAAATATTTTTCTCTCATTACACAAATAACAATTTGGTTGTATATTACATAATCTTTCAAAGTTTGGTGAATGCTAAACAAGTTGTCCTATGGCATTACTCCTGCAGAAATATTTTAGATCAAGTTTTTATTTATTTTTGTATTTTAGTTTTCTAAACATTTGTAGGATTTCTCCTTTATCCTTGAAACTTTAAAATACCATTAAATTATGTCTAGATGGTTCTTTTTTTTTCTATTTTGCCTGATATCTGGTAAGCTCTTTAGATCTGAAGGAACACATCAATTAAAAACATTCTTCTGTTATTACTTCTCTGTGAATGTGTTTGTGGTCTCTTAATGAAGTCTTTATTATACATCTCACTTGTTCCCCTACAATTTTCCTTTTGTTCTAGATTTTAAGAATCTTAAGTGTGCCCTTCACTTCATTTTTTGGTTGAAATCAATACTTATTGAGTGCCAACTATTCCTCAATGTACTAGGCTTTAAAATAGAATGAGTAAAATAGATATGATGCCTCTTTCCTGGATCTTCACTCTGAGGAGGGGAAATGTAGAGATGCACAGAGATAGTTCTTCTTTTGCATCTTAAAGATGCCATGTCTTTTGGAGACATGAAAATAGAATTGGGTCTGATTATTTTACAGTCTTCTGCTCATTCATTTGTTCTGCCAAGAACCCATCCACATTTTGACTTATGGAAATTCTTCCTGGGTTTCAGCAGACCATAAAGCATCACTGTCTTCATTGTTACTTCATGAAAAATTGGTTTGGGGTGAATCAGTTACTTCTAGCTAACTTTAAACTTTAAACCTAAACACTCTCTTACTCCAAAATAATGAGACTTTCCCATATTTTAGTTCTGTTACCCAGTGTTCTTTCTTAGTGAATTTGATAATTGGTATTTTCATCTTACTAACAAAAATGAGAACAACTATGATTTGATATGGCATATCAATTAGATATGATGGCATATCAATGGCATATCAAATACCTGGGATTCAGTCACGATATGAGAGGCTAAATCAAAAGACAGATTTATGAGATAAATGAGAAATTTAAATATTTGCAGATCTATGATTAATACT